TAAATCTAAGCTATTTGACGGACGTGAGAAAAAACGCACATTTTTCTACACGTAGAATAAAACCATATTGTTGAATTCGTTCAAGTACACAGTGCAAACGATGCACGAGTTATTCTTGGCTAGAACTTGCGAAAATGATACCGTCCAAGTAGGGAGCAAATTCTATTAAACCGTTTGGCATGGCATCCACCCTGTGTTGAAATATTGCTGGAGTAGATTGTAGTCCAAGTGGCAGATGGTTAAATTAAAAACAAACACGATGTGTATTAACTGTCAGAAGTCTTTTGTAGTCACTGGAAAATTTTATTTGAAGGTAAGCATCAGCGAGATTCAGATTTGCGAAATATTTCTCACCACTAAGCTTGGTGAACAGATCTTCTGTCACCGGCGTTCAATCCAGTAGAATCATCATCATCATCGTTCGCCGACACCAACCACACGAGCTATGGTTCTGAGACAACGATTGTCGAACACCTGAAGACGTGTCAGTTCTGCTGCTCGAATAGGCCAAGTCTCCAAATCATACAACAAAACTGCCCGTACTATAGCTTGATACACACATCCCTTGAGATACAGGAATAAACCATTATGACGCCATATGACGCCTCATATCTGTTCATGGCGTCAATATTTATGATCAAATCAACGGTTTTTGATCGGATAACCGCGATTACTGCCCCATCTAAGCCACCACAATCCCAATTTTGAGTGCTAGGAGGCATACGCATAAAAGGCACCATTCCCCTTGGGTGGTGGTTTGTCCCTCACAATTCAGACAGATTTGAGATGGAGCCATTTTGCACTTTTTTGAAGTAATACTGTGCAAGTTGCTCTTTGGAACCATCCTAGTGTAGTGTTGGGACCCTCTCCCGTTTGATTTGCAAAACTTCATCTCTCAGATGGGTATTGAAACCAAATATCATTCGATTTCATGGGCCCTTGGGAGGCTTTGGTCTTTGAAGTCTGAGAGCAGCTGAAGAATACCCGTATACCGGATGGAAGGAATCTCTATCGTCTTGCTGCCCTCAGTAAGATTACAGTGATGACAGACTACACGAGGCTGAGAATCTCCGCTGGCTCAGTCATCCCAGAAATGTGGATAGTTGTTTCGACAAATATTCAGTTCATGGTTTGAGAACGAAGGCAATCAATTTGGTGTCCTTTTTTGTGAAAAAGGACATGAGTGCAGGAAGCGGGCTTGTTCTGTTTACCCCGGACTCAAAATTTGCTCTGAGTGGGACGAAAAAACGAACGTAGATGGTCACTTCCCCTACGAATCTATGGTGAACCTGTGATGGTGACCAGAATTTTCTTAGCTTGTTCTATTTTGGCTCCGACTTAGCCCAAACATGTAGGCAAACAATTAGATTAGAGTCTTAGTGTTTGTAAATGATTTTTTCACAAAGGAGTATTTCTGCTGGAAAATGTGCTGTCACGAATGCATGAGACCGTGTTA